AGCACTTGTAATTTCTGGGAAGACAATGTCTCGTCCAAAAATCAACATTTAAACAAACTTTTTTATTTGTTTTTATACCTGATAAAATAAGTATGATTGCAAACAAACATTATAATATGGATTTGGCGAAAAATACAAATTTCACACGGAACTAGCAAGAATAAAGTCCACACAAATTCTCGTCAATTTATAGGCAGACATAGGCCTACATTAGAATGTCGAGTACATGGAATTGGTAGATAATTTACCCCTTAAAGAATTCTTCTGATATAATTATAATAAATTCTATAAAAAAAACTACCTTGCTGATATATAAACTGGCAATGACAACGTTAAACCAGTATAGCAACTATGTCCGTATTTTGGCAAATGACAACAAACTCGAAATCGCACGGGCAAGAATGAACATGAAATATATATATATATATATATATATATATATATATATATATATATTATATATATATATATATATATATATTATTTATTTATGTTTATGATAGATGGCGATGAATAAAAGATGTTTGGCCCGGTTATTTGTTTAACAAAGATGAAATATAAATAAGTAAATAAAGACTGGGCTGTCTATTTGATTTGCGGTAAACAAAGGTATATTAATATAACAGTATTTATTACAATCCCACATGATGGATAAGATTAAATTTGTTATTTTTTCTACGTATGCTTTAATGGTGTTTTAACTAAAACAATGGTTTTAAAAATCTGGGTCTAGTTATGTTTGAATATTACGTGATTGGCCGAAGAAACCTAAAATATTGTTAATGGCGCTAGCTGATTGGTGGAAATGCTTTACTAGAGCCCTCTGTTGGCTGCCATTAGAATGAGTCGATTTACCATTGTAACTCAGTCGGTTTATCAATTCTTCGTGAATCCCGCTTTGCCTTCACCGGTAAACGCAATGGTAAACGACCGCTGGCAAATGCGTTACGATCGTATACTAATGAATCCGGCCCCAGAATGACTCTTGTCGGCTCGCCTCCATCAATCACAGCTCACCCAGCTGTCAAACTTGGGTGAATAGACAACAGACGGATAAAGAGAGAGAAGAACGGTGAGGGAATGGGCAATCTTTGATAAACGCGCCGCAAGTACTGTAATAAAACTATTTTTGATCCTTTTAAAGGCAATATTTCACACGTGTGTCTAAGCCTCAGACACGATAAATCTTGATAATAGAACCTAACTGAGACTTTTATGGAAAATTACGCAATTTTATGATACAATTAGTAAAAATACACAACACATACACACGCAAATCAAAACAAAAACAAGTAAGGCACATGCAAACAAACAAACATACGGAAACAAGACACACCCATACAAGCAAACAAGACACAAACCTTTACAAACAAACAAGATACACACATTTACAAGCAAACAAACAAGACACATTTACAAACAAACAAACTAGTTACACACCTTTACAAGCAAACACGGCACATTTACAAACAAACAAGATACACACATTTACAAGCAAACAAACAAGACACACATTTACAAACAAACAAGATACGCACCCATACACGCAAACAAACAAGACACACGCCTATTCAAGTAAACAAACAAGACTCAGATACAATAAGAAACAGTCATAATAACAAAAACAGACACAAAGACTCACATGCTCTTTCTCCCCTTTAGCGGCCTTCCTCATCCCATACGTTATCATGCTGCTGTGTGCCGGCCTTCCCTTGTTCTTCATGGAGCTCGCCCTCGGACAGTACGCCAGTCTGGGACCCAATATTATCTTTCCAAAACTGGCGCCCATCTTTTATGGTAAGGAAGGGGCACGGGGAGATGGACAAGGTGGGGAGAGAGAGAGGGAGGGGGAGGGAGAGAGAGAGAGAGAGAGAGAGAGAGAGAGAGAGAGAGAGAGAGAGAGAGAGAGAGAGAGAGAGAGAGAGAGAAGAGAGAGAGAGAGAGAGAGAGAGAGAGAGAGAGAGAGAGAGAGAGAGAAGAGGAGGAGGGAGGGGGAGGGGGGGAGGGAGGGAGGGAGGGAGGGAGAGAGGGAGAGAGAGAGAGAGAGAGAGAGAGAGAGAGAAGAGAGAGAGAGAGAGAGAGGAGAGAGGAGAGAGAGAGAGGAGGGAGGGAGGGAGGGAGGGGGGGAGGGAGAGAGAAGAGAGAGAGAGAGAGAGAGAGAGAGAGAGAGAGAGAGAGAGAGGGGGGGGAGGGGGGAGAGGGGAGGAGAGAGAAGAGAGAGAGAGAGAGAGAGAGAGAGAGAGAGAGAGAGAGAGAGAAGAGAGAGAGAGAGAGAGAGAGGAGAGAGAGGAGAAGAGAGAGAGAGAGATAATAAAGATGGAGAGGCAAGAAAAGTAAAAGCTGTGTACGTTTGTGATTATGTGTTTATATCTACATCTATATAAACAAACACACCTTTGTTTGTGTACTTGCGTATATGATCTATGTATATACAAGTATATATATAAAAGAAAGAAAGGCAAGAAGAAAGCAAAACCAGGCAAAAACCCGCTCCTCCGCGCCGCAGGCCTTGGGTGGGGCATGGTGCTGGTGTCGGTGCTGGTGTCCCTACTGATACTACACATCACCTGGCTTGGGCGCTGTTCTACACCTTCTCCTTCCTTCACGCAGCGTCCTGCCCTGGGCCAGCTGCGGCAACGACTTCAACTCTCCTGGTATGCTGCTGTTGTTGGCATATTATTAGTCAAGATTAGCGTTCCTGTCAGTGTAGCTATCTGTACAGTATTGTTATCATTATTACTGTTGTTATCATCATCATTAGTGTTATTGTTGTAATAATAATAATAATAGTTATTATTATTATTATTATTATTATTATTATTATTATTATTATTATTATCATTATTATTATTTTCATTATT